AGCCTCGTGGGGACGGCTTTAACCTCCCCATCCATGATGACACCGACGACCGGACCGGCAACCCTGCCCCATATAAAGGGAAAGGCATCAGTTGTACCCTCTGGTACTGATCTACCTGCAGGGTGCAGCTGGCTTTCTTGGTAATAGCTACAGTAATTAATAATCACTTTGGGTGTTACTATCGTTTATTTAGTTTTATATAGCTCTAGCTAGCCTCTAATTAATAAGCATCTATGCATTAGTCACTACGGCATGTCAGGTCATTCTTAATTAGATATCCGTTGGATGGATGCATACAAAGATAGAAATAGCTTCTGTATTTAATAATTTTGTACAGAGTTATGATTTATAGAAATTATGTAATGTTAAATTGTTTATTAGGATGTCGGAGAACTTAACAGTGTGGGAAAACTACGGTCCTAGCGAGAGCTATCCTTTGGTCCGAAGTGCCTTAAAACAAGAGCCCGGTAATGATCGAGTGTCCCTAATATATACAATTAATTAAAATTGAATTGAATTTTCTTATTTACTTGGAGTACATTACATTGATGCATATATATATATATATATATATATATATATATATATTAAAGAGAAATTTTTGTATTATTTCAGACGGATAAAATTACAAGTGAGATCACTTCTTATTGCTCCTTAACAAGTTTAGGAAGTTGAGAGAAGTGAGTGTATGAAGTGAAAATGTTCGAGGTGACTGCATTCCTTGCTAGAAGATGAGCCGCTGTGTTTTCTTCTCTATAGATGTGTCTAGCGTCTCCATCGTTACTGTGAATTAACTCTCTCAGCGTTACGCAAGTCGAAGTATCATCGTCATGTCGTTGTAGTCTCCCCACCGCATTTTTTGAGTCCATGTGTAAGTGTATTGGCCCAATTGTGTTGAGTAAGGCCCAAGAGTATCCGATTAGCCCAGCTTCAAGTTCTCCTTCCTCCGGTTCTTGTACGCGATTCAGTTTTCTGGTTATGGCGCCAAGAAACTCACCATTCTTTGATCTCAAAATTGCTCCCGCCACTGAGAAACTGTTCGTAATTGCAATATCGGTGGTCAGGATGCTTCCTTCCTCTACCTTCGTCCATTTGAATATTTTTATTGCCTATATATATATGGTATTGTACGTACAGAAGGATGTGTGTTTGCGACATTGGCTAGACATATAGACTACGAGCTCCGGATTCGATACGCCGGGGCTTACCGACCTATCCAACTTTCGGATGTGGAGTTGGTGGACCATAAAGCCTTGAGGAGGGACTTCCAGAGGAGCCATCCTCCTAACGTGTAGAAATATTTTACGTGAAAACTGTGTTTTCCATTAATCACAGGGAGTTTATATACATGACCAAGAATACAAGTCACGGGCCCAAGCTATACACGGCCCAATACACAATAAATAAACATACATAAATATACTAGGCTAACACTCCCCCTCAAGTTGAAGCATGAAGATCATAAATGCTCAACTTGGACAACAAATTGTGAAAAAGAGGACCAGAAAGGGCCTTCGTGAAGATGTCCGCCGTCTGAAAACGCGTAGGAACATAAGCGGTCACAATATGATTGCGCTGAAGACATTCTCGGACAATGTGACAATCAATATCGATATGCTTCGAACGCTCATGAAACACTAGATTAGCGGCAATGAAGAACGCAGACTTGTTATCACAATATAAACTTGAGTCGCTATACACGGAACATCCAAGGCGGCTAAAAGGCCACGCAACTAACGGATTCAACACATGCATTGGCCGTAGCGCGATACTCAGCCTCTGCGGAAGATCGGGAAACGGTAGTCTGCTTCTTAGTGCGCCATGAGACCGGAGAACCACCCAATAAAATAAAATAACTAGTGACAGAGTGGCAAGTAAGGGGACAACTAGCCCAATCAGAATCAGAAAAGGCAGTAAGGACGAGATTGCTGTCACTACGCAACAAAATACCCTGACCAGGGTGGACCTTGAGATAACGTAAGACACGAAGAGCCACATTCCAATGATCGAGACGGGGCGCCTGCATAAACTGAGAAAGAGTGTGAACGGCATAACAGATATCCGGACGAGTAATGGTCAGGTACAACAAGCGACCCACAAGACAACGATACTTAAGAGGATCACGAATCTCAGCACTGGTAGAACGGTCCAAATTATGATTAACCGGTAATGGAGTGTCCACAGGCTTGCAACCAAACAAGTTGGCCTCATCAATAATATCAAGAGCATACTTACGCTGAGTAAGGACCATACCATCTGGAGAGCGAGCACACTCAATACCCAGAAAATAAGAAACTGGACCAAGATCCTTGAGATGAAAACAATAATCCAAATACTTCTTGAAGGACGTACATAGCGACCTGTTGTTACCTGCCACCAAAATATCATCAACATACACAAGTACAACCAACATATCAGAGCCACGCTGGAGAACAAAAAGAGTGTGATCAGCGTGGGCTTGACGAAAACCATATCGTCGTAGAGCAATGCGGAGCTTAGTGAACTAATTATGGGGGGACTGAAGAAGCCCGTACAATGACTTCCGAAGACGACAAACTTTCCTTGGAAAAAGATGAGTATAGCCAGGGGGTAGTTTCATATAAATCTCATCCTGTAAATCACCATGTAGGAAGGCATTATTAACATTCAACTGATCAACCTCCCAACGACGAGCCACTGCAACAGACAACAAAACACGAATAGTAGCAAGTTTGGCAACAGGAGCAAAAGTGTCAGTATAATCAACACCAAGTTCTTGATGATTGCCTAAAACAACAAGGCGAGCCTTATCACGCTCCTTAGTACCAGCAGACCGAAATTTGGTCCTGTAGACCCACTGACAACCAAGAGCACGATGATTAGGAGGAAGATCAACAACATCCCAGGTATGATTATGCTCCAGGGCCAAATACTCAGTGGCCATTGCCTCTCGCCAGGAGGCAAACTGCATGAATGGGCCAATATTTTATATGGGTGTAATGCTAATTTTTGTTAATGCACTAACACTTTGTGTCCATGTAAATTTTTGTTAACGCACTAATACTTTATTTCAATGTGAACTATCAAAATGTTGGTGCATATCTTTGGTATACAAATAAGATAGAAATATTGGGGTAGCATGCTCCTTCAAACAAAGAAAAGGATTGCTAGCATGTCTATTAAGCTTTAGAGGTTTGCTTGGTTACCCCAATTTGGATACACTTGGGTACCCTTAGGTTTTTCCTAAGTTTTAATATTGGTAAAATTTGCACTGAATATGGCTAAAACATAAGTCATTTTTTCAAGGTAGGACTTTAACTTTTTTTCTTTCCTAAATAGAACTTAATAATGAGTTAATGACTAGTGAGAAAAATAATGCCCAAGTGATACTAAACATTTAGTTGAATAATGACTAATAGATAATGACCAATGGTACTACTTTAGAAAATAAAACATATGATCCTAGATTGAAGAATTCATTTTGTTTTAGTTTTATTTAGGTAAATTACCCATAATAATGATTGCCCTTTTGGGCTGACTAAACACTATGGTATGATGTTATATTTACCGTACAAAATATTCATTCTTTATTTCAATTTAAATTACTTGTTTCGGTTTACGATGTTTGACTGAAATTATTTTCAAATCATTCTATATAAAAAATGGTGGGAATCAAAAAATAAATATTACATCGTTAAAAAACTCTGTAAAACTAATGGTGACATATCATATTATCATGACTATGTTATTTTATCAAATGACTGACGAAAATGGGGAAACAAAGTGAATAAAGTTTTATCATGTACTCCGTAAATAGTAAATGGACAATTTAATTTGAGACGGAGAGAATTTGTACGAATTCCAATCCTGAAGTATATTAATCGAGTATGGTTTGGACATATGGTATATATTAAATTCTAACTCGTGCATTGTACGGCGAGACATTTGTGTGTGCAATAATAAAGATAATGTAACATCGAAACATTTAATAAGTAATAATAGAATGATAAATTTACTTTCGATTGTATAGTAATTGTTCGTGTAATGTAGTATATTGCATGTTATTAATTAGATAACAATATATAGTCACAAATTCTGAAAAACTTCTTTATATACAACATTCAAGTATAATCCAATGAATTGTTTTCTTCATCGCAACTCAAAATCTTTAAACACTCTCAATTTGTGACACGTGAAATAGCAACATATAGTTGATCGTGGCTGAAGACCATTTTTTAAGAGTAGACCAACATATGACAAAGACTACCCTGACTTTTGTTAATAGTCATTACATATGAAGTCATGACAACAAATTGTTTTCTTTAAAACTTGAAAGGTATCATTTTGTCTAAAGGAATTAACAAAAGCCTAGGGTCATGACCGGCATTTTTTCTTGTCATCATTTTTCCTTGGATCAAATGATTCTCGTGTCACAATTAATCTTGTTCCATTGCACAAACTCATAGATTAATCAATATTTCTCAGCAACATTATATGTGTGTGTGCAAAGTTGAGTTTATTTGTTACAGTGTTGACATGTAGCATGTCATATATGCATCCACATGTGCCCCACTAATAAGATGGATGCATTTCATTGGTCAAATTGGTTTTTTTAAAGGCTTTTTTCATTTTTTTAATAATTTTATAAACATACATTTTACCATTGTAAAATATACTCCATATTTTAAACATATATAAATATAAAGACACATACATACATACATACATACATACCAGGGCCGGGTCCAAAAATTTAGGGGGCACAAAACTTTTTTAAATATCATATATATATGTATAAGAAGCCCACCCAATATGTAAAGCCCAATGCCCCAATCCAGGGCCGGCCCAAGCAGTCCGTCCGGGCCAGGCCCAAAAATTTAGGGGGCATAAACTTTTCTTTTAAATACGTAGTATTATACTACATATATATATGTATAAGAAGCCCACCCAATATGTAAAGCCCAGTGCCCCAAGCCCCCAATCCATCCTTTTGCTTACACTTTTACTTACGCACATAGTCACTGAAGAAGAACCGAATGGAAGAAGCGGGACAACCACAAATGGGGAACTACTGACGGAAGAACGGAAGAAGCGGCCACCGCCAGACGCACCGCCGGACGCCGACCCTCAAGCTCCAGCCTCCAGGTGCTCCGCATTTCTATATTCATAGCTTTCCAATTTTATAATTCTTATTTCTTAATTTGCTTTCATTGTTTACACTAGAATTCTACCGTGCGATGCACGGTCAAATTAAAAATCAAATTAGATATAAACCCCACAGTTTCTTCGTCTATGAAATATCTCATAAATTTGTAATTACGCATATAGTAGTTCCTTTGTCTCTGTATATTTAATACTTCCTCTGTTCATTAATTTCTTTCTCATTATCATTTTTGGGTTGTCCAAACTTTTTTTTCTATTTCTTATTTTAGCAAATAACTATTGATGAATGTGTAGATAAGCTCTTACTTTTTTTACAATCACTTTCTTCCGGGGCAACTCATAAAAATCTTTATAATACTCCATCCGTCTCTAAATAAACTTCCTCTTTCGTTTTTTCTTTGTCCCCAAATAAACATCTCTTTTCCTTAAAAAACTTCTTTTACACCTTACTTTTTCGTACACTACCTATCACATCATACCTTTTTACTAATAATCTACATATAACATCTTACTTTTACACATCACATCAAGGGTATTTTTGGAAGGCAACAGCAAAATATCTCTCCCTTAATTTACCAAAAAGTTAAAAACGAAAGTTTATTTAGGGAGGGAGGGAGTATTTAACTTTTCTTGATCTTCATGTTAAGTCAAATCAGGAGAGAAATTTTTAGACAGAGATAGTATAATTGTAGCTTTCAAGAAAATGTATTTATTTTTAGATTTTTTTTGATAACATATTATGAGCTTTTTGCCTTGACCAGGCAGTGGGAAGCCTTCTCTCCAAGATTCCTTACTCAGATTCGAATTTCTGTTGTACATTATTAGATTGAAAAAATATGAACAAATACTACATTGTAATTAAGTCAATAGCACTCAAAGAATTAATTATGTATAGAACGCATTACAAAAAGTTAACTAAAATTAGAAAGTTAAATTCTTTCTAGTATATCTCGAAATGTAATTGAAGATTTTTTTGTGATAGAGAGTATTCCCTAATATTACATAATTCTTTCTAGATTAATTAAATTTCATTATTAAAGCAATAAGAATAAAAATATACTTCCTTTGTTCCTTTAAGCCTATTCCATTTTGACTTTTTGAAAAGTTAAGATAAGACTATTTTTGTGTTAACGTTTCAAGAATACTCTTGATGTGATGTCTAAAAAAAAGGATGTGATGAATATATTATTAGTAAAAAGTATGATGCGATTGGTAAAGTAAGAATTAATCGTGGTAAAAGTGATTTTTTAATAGAAATTGGAAAAAAATTTATGGGATGAAGAAAAAAAGAAAGAAAAAAGAGTTAATGGGAAGGATGGAGTACAATTCTAGACATAAACATAATTAGAATTGTTCCTAGTTCCATATTCTCGTCCAATAACAACAAAAGTATTTAACAATATAGCTAGTTCTTACCCTTCAAAAAAAGCTACTCCTTATGTGTTAGGAAATAGGAAGTATTCATATTTCATGCAAAGTTTGTTGCAAGCTTGAATATATGATGAGGGGGATGGGCAACAGCTTTTTAATGTCAAGCACTAAGAACACTCTAGACTTAGATGAAGGGGCAATTGATTTGAAAAGACTGACAGATGAAGCTTCAAGGGATGCCTCCTCTTCCATGCTTCAAGTAAATTGATCTAAACAAAGCCTGCACTTGTTTTAAGATGAAGTCACAAATTTGATGATTTTAATGAATAAAAACAAAAGATAACCTGAGAGGAATTTCATCATGTACCATTTGAAGAAGAGTTTCCAAATTCAGAATATATGCCAAACAGAATACATTCCCTTGAGTTAAACATGGCAAACAGAATACATGGTCAAATATGGTGGAATGCACATCTGAACATAATTGAAAAATATGGGTTATGAGTATTAAAAATGAATCTTTAAAACTTAAGTACCTAAATTGGGTTAGCAGTAGTTTCATTCTTTGTTTGTGTCAAGGGCAACATCAGTAAGAAGCAAGAATTACAAAAAGTGAGGAATTGGAATTTGATAATCTACTACGTAACATTTTTTAGATTTTCCAACCCCTGGTGTGAAAGAAAACAAAACCTATAATTCAGTTTCATTTGGCAATTTGGCATTTTAGATAATTTTCAATGGTGCAAATTAGCGTTGAAAACATTAAAACTAAATGTCGTCATTAGATAAAAAATTTCAAAATGCGAAAATTAAATGTTGATGCTATTGCTAAACATGCTATGAGTAGTGGTTCAATTAATTTAGGGTAGTGTTTGGGAACTAACATTTCATTTCAATTTTCGCATTTCAATTCTACAATTTGAATTCTTGAATTTCAAATGACAAGGAAGGTATATAGATTTCAAATTTAGCTTTACTATGTATTAGAAGAATTTGCCTCAAACCCAAATTCCTTAAGGTTCCCAAGCATGGGATTTGAGCCAAATTTGGATTTGAAATCCAAATTCAAGTTCCTAAACATACCATAGAAGATTTCCTAAGAATCCCTTCAGCGCGAGAGGGGGAATGGGCAAGAATTTGTTTTACTAGAGTCTTTGAGTCTTTAATTGGTAATAAAACTAAATTTCCAGGAGCATGTTGGTTATGGTTTTGTTGCAAAATAGAGTAACTGTATTGATTGTTAGTATTATTCGATAGGGTTGTGCAAAGGTGCAAATGAGGAGCATGCTAGGGATCTGCCGGTGATGAATGGTATCAAAGAAGATATTAAATCCATTGGAGTTCTTGATTCTGGGAACCCAGTCTTCCAAGAGGGCCTCTCCAATCTCTCAACTCGTCTCAAAACCTTACAGGTACCTGCTGTGCTACATACTCTGATTAAATGCCATTTTATTTATGCCTTAAGGGTTTGTTTAGATCTCACGGAAAGATGATAGGTTGGAAAGTGTTGATGAAAATTGGTTGGCAAGAAAATTTGGGAGAGAATAAAAGATGGACTAAACTGAATAATTTTATTTTAAATATATTTGTTGAAACTCATTTCATTAAGTTTGGACATGTATGGACAATAACAACCCTTTGGTAGGGGTGGGTGTACGACATTACGTAGACCTTGCCTCTAACTGTAAAAGTAGAGGGATCGTTCCCAAAAGATGCTCAATTCGAGACAGAGCAATCAAATCATAAAAGTGAGAACAATATGGCAAAGCAACTAAGGAGTTGAGAAAAGAAAAGGTGAAGAGATAAGTTTTGGTTCTCCCTGCTTCTTGTGATAGATAACTTTGAGTTCAATAGTTGACGACTAGCAACCAAGCTCCCCATCTTATGTGTTAGAGCTTCTTCAAGTTGTGCACTTGTGTGCATTTCGTTTCTTAAGGAATTATGATAAAACAAGTGCATTTTAGTTTTCAAGATCTCATTATATTGGCACAATGATACGTCCAAACTCATGTTAATTATGAAGTGAGTACCGGGTTGTTGTTGTTGTTGAGATATATTGAGAGAAATAAATATGCTTTTATTCTAATTGCTGCACTGTCCTCTTTTATCTTCTATTAGCTGTATTATTTTTGTCCTTTTCTACTAGTTTTTTGCTTGCTGCTGCGCCAGCCCTTTTGCTAGGAAGTTTCCTATTATTGTCGTGTTCCTAGCATATAATTAATAGGTGAGAAACAGGTGGCAACTATTGAGTGGTAGGCTGCCATCTGGTGCACTCATATATGTAGGAGTCTTGCTCCATTATTCGGATGAAGAAAACAGAATAAGAAAAAGTAAAAGTCCATCTTCTTTCAGCTCTCTCTTTCACCTTTTATCTCATTCTATTTCACTCATCATGGTATCAGAGCCCTGAAAGTGAGAGCTGCATTAAAATCTTCTGAAAACTAGGGTTTCTCCTATCCTGTATCTTCAATGGAAAGGATGAGCCCTCAAAACCCCTTGTACCTTCATGGCTCAGATGGGCCTAACACAGTAAGTGTTGAAAAACTCACTGGTGTGAGTAATTACAGGAGATGGAGAAGATCCATGGAGATAGCACTTTCCTCAAAAAGAAAACTTGGCTTTGTGAAGGGAAGTGTTGTGAAGGAACAAGCTGACACAGCGAAGGCAGAACTCTGGGATACATGCAACGACACTGTGATAGGATGGATTATGGGGTCTGTTTCAGACTCTATCAAACAGACCATCATGTATATGCTCAGGGAGATCTGGATGTATCTGGAGAGCAGATACTCTGTCTCAAATGGCTCCCTTAAATATAAACTCAACAGAGAACTCTATAGCTTCAAGCAAGGAGGTGCAACCATCAATGATTATTATACTGCCATGAGGGGCATGTGGGAGGAACTAGAGTCTTTAGACCAGTTGCCCACCATTACTACTGTTGGAGAGGATGTGACAAGATTCTTAGAAGCCTTGGAAAAACAGAAGGAAGAGAAAAGGTTGTTTCAATTTCTCAATGGAGTGGATGAAGTTTATGGACCTCAAAGGAGTCAACTGCTCATGATGACAACTCTTCCTTCAGTAGAGTTTGCTTGTAGTTCACTTCAACAAGAAGAGTCACAAAGATGTGTGCTCAATCCTATGAAGGCTCCCTTGGAGTCCTCTGCCATGTATAGCAAGGGAGCAACTGACCCAGAAACATGCTCAGCTTGTGGGGTGAAAGGACATCCAAGGGAGAGATGTTGGACAGTTATAGGCTATCCTAAATGGCATCCAAAACACAAAGCTCTTTATAAAAGCAGGAAGGAGGCACAGGTTCTAGTGTTGGCACTAGTGTTGGGTCTGGAAAAAACACTAACTCCAATACTGGATGGTTCAAAAATAAAAAGTATGGTTCTCAGAAGGTTGCTGCCAATGCACAAGGAGGAAGCAGCCTAGGGGACAATGGAGAAATCACAGTCCAACAATTGGAGCATCTGCTGAGGAACCTGCATAACAAACCTAGATCAACCATGGCAGGTTCAGACACTGAAGATGAACTCGATTCTAGCTTTGCTGGCTTCGCAGGTATGGTCTCATGCTTGTGTGTAAATGCTGAAAATGTTGATTGGATAATTGACTCTGGAGCTTCTGACCATATGACTGGAGACATAAGTCATATTGAGAATGTTGTAGCTGTTGGGAATAGATTGAAAATAAATCTACCTAACGGTAATACCTCTGATATCACTCACTGTGGTGGTGTAAAGCTGAAAAATGGACTAAACCTTAAGAAGGTTTTAGTAGTTCCTGAGTTTAAACATAATCTGCTGTCAGTTAATAAACTTGTGAGCTCTGAAGATTGCAAGGTAGACTTCTATGCAGGACATTGTGTCATAGTTGACAATGTCACTCAAAAAGTAAAGGGAATTGGAGAGTCAAGAAATGGTCTATACTATCTGTTGAATGAAGACATAAAATCAGTTGTGAGAAGTCTAAAACATGCAGAGCGAAACTCAGGCAGAAGTGTAGGGTCAGCAAACACTAGTTCTGCAAAAATCAGGCAT